TTATTAAGGTTATTATTGTTTTCATTCTATTTATTTTTTGTCCGGACACTTTGCAACTCCTCCTGTCGCTTTCACCCGTCTTCTCTCCACCGCTTTCTCCTTATCGGCTTTCCTCTTTGCATTCAGCCTGCTGGATTCTCTCCTCATTCCTCTGCTCTTTAACCCAGCATTCGCCTCGCCAAAGATCTTCTCCTCTATGGGTCCTTTCATCTCCACCTCCTCGTCCTCATACTCGTTCTCCTCGTCGTCCCCTCCCTCCTCCATGTCCGACACAACCGAGCTGACCTCCATTCCCTCAGCCGTCTGTCCTCCGCCTCCTTCTCCTTCTCCTCCTCTCCTCCCACCGACAGCTCCTCCTCCAGGATCAGGTTCAACTTCAACGTCCGCTTCAGCCTCGGTATCAGTTTCTGCCCCCAGAATTACATCCACCACAGCCTCTACTTCAGTCTCAGCCAAACCTTCACCACTCCTCGCAGTCTGTCCATCATCCGCAGCAGCCGGAACAGCAGCAGTATTGGCTCTGCTACTACACATCTTTCCTTCGTCTGCTTTCCCCTTCTTCCTCCCTCCGTCTCCTCCACCATCCATGGCAGCCGCGTCAGCTTCTCTCTTTGCAGCAGCCACCACAAACACCGCCGCGACAGCAGCCACAGCTTCCTCGTTTATCCTGCTCCCAGCCTTATCACTTATATCCTCTTCTTCACTCTCTTCCTGACTTCCACCCTCCTCTTCCTCCATTCCATTCTCCACTGTTTTTTCCGCCTGGGCACTTTCTCTCCCCCTGGCTCCGCTTGCCCCCTCCTCCCGAGTCACACAGTCCCAGGCATAGTGTCCCTGCTTGGCACATTTATAGCATTTCAACTCAGGGCATTCTTTGTATAAATGCCCTGGCCATATGCACATCCTGCAGACCGGTACCTGCTTGTCGTGAATCACCCTGAAGTATTCCGGCCCCTCTAGAGTCTCGAACCTTGTGGAGTACGGAAGTGACCGCACTTCCTTATTGAATTCCACTCTCAGAAACCTCGTCCCATCAACCACATCAGTGCCGGGCCACATTCTTCTCTTTATTGCCGAGACAGGCAAAACCCCCCACATTGCCAATCTGCCTTTAATTGTAGTGTCCAATATATACGAAGGTATATTTAGGAATGACACCGTGAGTTCTTTTGCCATGCAGTCTCTGCCCCGCACCAAAACCCCATTGATTCTTATTCCATCCAACAGTTTATTTTTTCCTTTTTCTTCAGCCATTGTCACTTCATATAGCCCATCTCCTTTAACCCGACATCCCATCACAATCCCACATTCTTTCTTAACTCCTTTTAGCAGATCCATAACAGTTACCACTGCTTTCCCACTCTCCACCGCCACCACCACTGTCAGCTCCTTTTTATATTTCTCCTCCTCCCCAATCAACTCAAACTCCTCTCTCACCTCCTTTTGTTTTCCTACTCCTGTTTTTTCATTTTGTCCATTCGCATTTTCGTTGTCATTGTCCTTTCCTTTTTCATTCACAGTTGTCCCGTCCTTCTCCGCACTCTGCTGTAGTGTGTCAATGTCCGTGATCCGTGACGCAGTTGATAAATCCATTCCTGTTTTCTTTGCCAGTTTATCCATCCGATCGAAAAAACACACAGGTCGGGGGAAACCCCCAGCCAGCAAGGCTGTTTGGGGGGGACTCAGAACAAAAAAAACACAACTATAAGTTTGACGAAACAAAAGCGATCCACAAAACAAACAATTCACTTCTTTCCTCCTGAGACCAAAGTCACGCACGTCCTCTCACAGTCCAAGCCCCTACTGACTGAGCCACTGCTGGACATGGCTTTGTTGAATATTCAATTATGATTGGTCAATTGGGACGTTCCAGACAAGGATGCTCTCATCAAGGGACCATGCATTCCTATCAAACTGCAGAAAGAAGTCCGGTCCATTTAACATCAGCTGTGGACCACAAACATTTGTTTTCCTGCATCGGAAAACGCCGCAAAGAAATCAACAGGAGAAGACAGACAGGAAGTAAGCATTGTTGGTAAACAGTGGATCGGACTTCTTTCTTTTAGCGGAAGCAATACGGATCATTTTTAAATCGATGTTTGTGAGTCAAGTCGTTGGCAGCGAGCGCCATTTTCATTTAATATGGGGGATTTTTGAAGTCTTTTCTGCTGAATCTTAAGGCCGGGATATTCTGTTACAGATTGTACGATGTATCCTTGGACCATGTAAGAAGGATAACTGTTTCAGACTTGAAGCACACTGTGCCCTCAACTATCACCATCTGCTGTAATGATAAAAGATTCAATGTTCTCTATCGTCATCATTTCCAAATTCCTCCCAGCACATGAAGGCACCGTGGATCACATCCTGCGTGTGCCTCCGCTCTGACATCGTAAAAAAAGCTGTCAGCGGCATGTATTAAAAAGATTATGAACATGTCTGGTGGTGACATGGCGGAGGGTGCAGCTCAATAGCTACTGCTGCCGGGACCAGAGCAGCAGGCATTAGAGCGTGGAAACATTCAATATCAATTAATGCAGGACTCAAAGTCGGGCTTGACACGGCATTTAGTGTTTCCTCCTTGAACAGCAAGAGAGAGGTATTCAAGCTCAGCCCCGAGGGAACTCAAGGATTAGCTGCAAAGTCAATATAGGAGTCGCCTCTGCTTTCTGCCTCCAATACTCCTCTCCACCACCTCTGTCATGTGTAGGCTGGAGGAGTAACAGATTACATGTGACGGTATTACGTAATCAGCATACAATAAAATGTAACTGTATTCTCCTACAGATACATTAGAAAAGGTGTAATCAGATTTCAGTTTTTTTGAAAATATGGATTTCTAGCAGGATTACAATGTTACAATACATTTTAAAATAAAGAAATATGTTGCAAAGCACATACACACATCACAAACCTTCAGGAGTCTCACAGAGAACCGAGTCCTGGTGAAACCATAGCTAATCTTCCAGTTCATCATCATGGCGTCCAGTTCAGAATGATTCACTGGGGGGGGGATCTCTCATACTGCCTGTGCTGCAGCACCTCTTTTCACCCTCTGTCTGAAACCAGAGCTCACTCTGCTCTGATTGGTTAGCTGGCCGGCTCTGTTGTGATTGGCCAACCGCTAAGAGATGTCCCGCCTATATAAAATATTCAGGTTACATTACTTTTATATTGTGATAGTTGTGAATAACTGTACTGATGATTGTAATGGATTACATGTTTAAAGGAACCCTCCCAACCCTGATCCTTTGCTGGCATCCTGCAGAGCTGACAAATGGAAAAGCCCCATGCTGATCTATGTAGAGAAACAATTAGTTCATGTTGACACTAAAAGGTTAAAACTGCTAATTGAAATAATAAGGTTTCATCTCAGTATGAAAGTCATTAAATGTCAGGCAGTGCAGATTGCTAAACGGTGGAACAAAGACTGTTCATTTAAATAATCATACATTAGGCTACAGCATATAAACAACACACTGCAATAATCACCTTTGCAAAATGTTATTGAGCCATATAACCATATTATTATTTCCTGATTGTTCCAGTGAGGCGTTGCAGAGAGAGGTTCAGGGCCAAAGCGAAACCTGCCTGGGTAAATGTTAGCTTGTCGTGGCCTTTAACATCCTGAATAAACCTGCTTTATTATCGCCTGCAGCTCTCTCCGAGCAGCCGCACATTCCTGCAGCAAAGAAACTACAGCAGATTTTAGCCGTTGAAAGACTAATATCAAGAACACCATATAGCTGTTTATACAATGCACCGAGTTCCTGGCACTATTAGTCTGCAGGGATATCTTCGTTTTGACTCATGATGCATGAAACTTCTAACCTTTTGTGAAGACCAATGTGCAGCGAGGCGGTCATTATTAATAAAAGAACCCCGACAGGGTGAGCAGGATCCTGACGCTTATCACACAGCTACATATTAAATAAACCAATAACTTGGCTCACAATATTGCTTTAAAATAATATTATTTAATTAAAAATGATCGTGTTACTAAGAAAAATGGTTGCTGGAACTGCAGCGACAGCAACGTAACTTAAAATGACGGCAGCACTGATCAAGGTTTCCTGTAACTGTCTGTCACATTTTATTTTCCATTAACCAGTCTTTAAACACTGCGGTGCCTATTCTGTGTCCCTGTTAGTGTTTACTTCCTGGTTAGACAGATGGGAAGTAGAACAAGAGCACCAGCAGAAGAGGACAGGCAGGATCACCTGTCAGAAAAGAGAATGTAACCACAAACTGAACTAAGGAAATAAATGAAGAGCAAGAGAAAGAAATAGGTTAAAAGACAGAGCACTGGACTTCAGAGGAAGAAGAAGACAGACAGGAAGTAAAAAACTAACGGGAATAGCAGAAGAAGTAGAAATCTGTTGATTCTCTGATGTCCATGTCTTCTCTGATAGGTTCAATAATCTGTTGTTTTCCAGGAGATAAAAACACTTTTTGTTCTCCTAAATATCGCGAAAACCAGCTTGTATCAGTTTTTTTCTTCTGGGATTACAGTCGTGTCCTCTTGGTCAGTGTTGGCTGAGCCCCTTACGGAATTATGGATCGGAGATCAATTCACGCTCTGGCCTTTGACCACTAAAACTCCCCAGGCTTCCCCCTAAGGACTCTGCTCCCACATTTACAACATTTGGCCGTTCACGGAAACTCTGCTTATTCAGTTAACTGAATACTACACAGTAACGGGTTTCTAAAGCCAGTCCCTCATTATAATCATAGAGCAGAGTTTCCATGAACGGCCAAATGTTGTAAATGTGGGACAGCATTTTCTCCCTTCCTTTCGTAAAGACTGCTCCAGTGCATCCGAAGCTGAAGGGGATAATAAAGGAAGCTCCTTTCCTATCTAGAAAGTTCAAACGGCACCTAATAGGCACTTGTCATTTTACTCCATCAGGAACCTTCCTGAGCAAAAAGGACAATTCGATTGCATCCCATGTCTTCGTACGCTGCTGTGAGTCTCATACATCTCTTCCTTTTCCTTGCAGATGCCTCCAAGACGGACGTCCCAGAGGACTTTGACATCGACATGGAGAACCCGGAGACCGAGAAGGCGGCCGTCGCCATCCAGTCCCAGTTCAGGAAGTTCCAGAAGAAGAAGCGCGTCGACAAGTCCTAGTGAGCGCCTCTCTGCCGCCGCGTGGAGGTCGAGGACGGTGTGATATTTGCATGTTAACAAATTCATACCTGTTGGAACTCCAGGGGTTGTGATTGGGATGGGAGGGGGAGAATGCAATAGCCTGTTTATCATATGACATGTCTGTGAATTTATCATTATCCTATTATTATTAATTTATTATTCAACTGCTGTATCAATAACTAGAAAATAGAGAGAATATTTCTGTCCTGTTCCATGTATCATGAAGTCTAGCTGGTGTTTGTGTTAGAATATGTTTTTGTACTTACCCCCGGCTCATTGGTTAACATACCTTTGCTTACCCAGAAACACCTGTGTGTGTGAGAAGATGGAGCAAAAGCTGGTGTTAAGATGACGGTTGTTTTTGTGGTGCTTCCCACCCTGAGCAGAATATTTCACCCAGAGGCATTTTTCGTACCCGCATGGTTCTATCAAGGTGTGTGTCAATGTACATTCAATAAATAAAGACTCTGTGTGGATCCTGCGTCTTTGGTCTTTGTACAAATGTGGCAAAGCTTCAGCATCCCTTAATATATTGCATTAACACACAGTCTGCAGGGACAGCAGTGGGACTCATATTGTGATGACAATCTATAAATAGAGCTCTCCAGAACGAGCTCTGCTGAATCTATTCCCTCCTCAGCATGATGACCTTCTCCATGTGGAGCCGCACTGATTGACTGCTTCCCACAGAGCTGCTCAGCTGTAGGCTCTCTAAAAACAACCAGCCAATAACACACCACTACATCAATGTATTCACTGTCAGGACTATATGGTGACAGGGATGGGAGGGTTAGTTACATGTGAGAAAATGTAACCTAATCTGAGTATGACAATATAAAAGTAATGTCATCTGATTACGTTCTGTTACTTTTGGATAACCTCAATATCAAATGCAATGCAAATAAAAAAGGGTTTACTGAAGGGTATTATGGAAGTCGACGGAACAATGTGACCTTAGAAAAAGAAGAAACCAACATATTTAGGATCCAAAATGATTTCATATCATTCAGCATATTCAGGCAGTAGCCTATACACCAACACTGAAACACATGAGCACACACTACAGTTTAAAGAAGCAGAAATAAAATCTGAGCTGACAGAATTTTTTTTTGTTTAATACACACAGTTAAGCTCACACACACTATTTTATGAACATATCGGTTCACCTACTGAATTAAAAACAGAACAAATTAACCAAAGAAAGTGAAAACCATGAATCAGATTCAGGCAGTCGGCGTATAGATTCACATTTAAAATATTAGCCTACAGTACAGCTTACAAAGAAGAGATCACATCTGATCCTTTTACAACAAACACTATATGCACTTTTTAGTTTTTTAATAACATTGTAATCCTGCTAGAAATCTACAATCTTTAGAAAATGTACTGGTTACATTATTTTTTACGTCACTGTTATCTCCCCAGGCCTGATATTTCCCTATGGAGCGATTTCAAAAGGCTATTGCTGTCTTCCTTGTGTCCAAAAAAGTGGTATTTGATTCCTCTGCCTGTGACTATTCCTCGGCTGTCTTTAAATATCTGGACGGATCGGATTTTTGGCCGAGAAGAAGCTTTTTGAAGAGTTTCACTGAGCGGCAGACAGCTTCCATCATTACACAGTATCCTGCCCGGGCACATTATGTGGTCTCCCTCATTAGGCTAAATGACGGAAAAATGAAAACACACGCGCGCGCGCGCACACACACACACACACACACACACACACACACACACACACACACACACACACACACTGTCAAAGATACTGTGTCGAATCTACTGCAGCCTGGAGTTCAAGCCCTATTTCAAAGGAATAGCAAAGCATAATATATACTTTTCTTGTTTTGTAGCAAGAAATTGATATATATTTGATGCGTGTTTTTTTTTTAGGACTTCTAGCAGCATAGCTTGTTTGTCTTGTTGGTCCACAACTTTGTTTCGGATAGAGAAAAACTTTTAGATGGATAGCAATGACATTTTGTTCAGACAATCGTGGTCCCCATCTGTCTGATCCCCTGACTTTCCACCCATCATTACCAGCTGGTCAAACTCTATTAAAATCTGCGAGATGGATTTGCAAAAAATATACCGACATTGTTAAATCCAAGATGATGAATCCTGATGTTCCTCCATGAGGGACACATTTGTTATTTTAAGTGAATTGTCTCGGCAGCTATGGGATGGATTGCCATGTGATTTTAAATCAAAACAAATGAAACTTGATTTTTATAGCACTTCAAAGGTAAACAACATTGCTTCACAAACCAACAAATTAATTATCAAATAAAATGATGTGTTACTTGATATTTATAAAAACACAGGACTAAAATAAACATAAAAAATAAATAAAATAAGAATAAAATTAAAACAAAAAGGATAAATAAAAAAAGAACAGAAGTCAATAAACACAGGACTGAATAAAATAAAAATATAAATCAAATTAAAAAAGGAATAAATAAGAGCAAAATTATGAATTAAAAACAAAGATAAATCAATAAACCAGGACTGAATGAAATAAGAATAAAAGAAACATAAATAAATTAACCTTAAAAAAGGTATAAAATAAGAATAAGATAATACAGTAAAAATAAAAGTTCTGAATGAACTAATTAAATATTGGTAATCTTAATTTTAAAAAGTAAAATACTTGATAAAATGTTCATTTCAAAGCCTACTGTAAAAGCAGTTTCTGTAGCGGATAAAGGTGGATAAAGCTGGCGACGCTATGCAAAGTATACCAATTACACTTTAATACCAACACAAAATAAGACAATATGGAGGCGCCCTAAAGCAAACGAAGCATCATGTGAATACAGGATCACTCCCTCAGGAATTCTGCAGCCAAACAACACAAGTCACATAACGTTTTTCTCAATAAAGAGTGGTTTTACAAGACGGGAACTTAAGCTGTCGAGGGTTAAGAAGAGGTTTTCTTAAGATTAGGATCACTGCACAGAGCGGGTCACTGAACGGTCTTATATCAAGGTCAGCGCCGACCTTTGCACCGCGGGGAGTTGATCCTCACAGCAGATGAGCTCTGTAAGCCTGGGAGGATTAAACAACCATGACAAGTTCACTCCTTGATGTCCACGGCCAGACGGTTTCCAGAGCAAAAAGTCAAATAAAGTGCATCCATTACATCCTTATTACACTCAAACTCTATTAATAATATCAATCATTCAATCAAAATACTTCATTAATCCCCGGGGGAATTATGTTTATTGACAGTTCATCACAGCACAGAGACCCTCTGAAGATCCAGACTCATGATGAAGACATGATGAAGACTCAGGCTCAGGATGAAGACATGATGAAGACTCAGGCTTATGATGAAGACTCAGGCTCACGATGAAGACATGATGAAGACTCAGGCTCATGATGAAGACATGATGAAGACTCAGGCTTATAATGAAGACTCAGGCTCACGATGAAGACATGATGAAGACTCAGGCTCACGATGAAGACATGATGAAGACTCAGGCTCAGGATGAAGACATGATGAAGACTCAGGCTTATGATGAAGACTCAGGCTCACGATGAAGACATGATGAAGACTCAGGCTCACGATGAAGACATGATGAAGACTCAGGCTCATGATGAAGACATGATGAAGACTCAGGTTCATGATGAAGACTCAGGCTCATGATGAAGACATGATGAAGACTCAGGCTCATGATGAAGACTCAGGCTCACGATGAAGACATGATGAAGACTCAGGCTCATGATGAAGACTCAGGCTCATGATGAAGACATGATGAAGACTCAGGCTCATGATGAAGACATGATGAAGACTCAGGCTCATGATGAAGACATGATGAAGACTCAGGCTCACAATGAAGACATGATGAAAACATGATGAAGACTCAGGCTTATGATGAAGACTCAGGCTCACGATGAAGACATGATGAAGACTCAGGCTCATGATGAAGACATGATGAAGACTCGGGCTCATGATGAAGACTCAGGCTCATGATGAAGACATGATGAAGACTCAGGCTCATGATGAAGACTCAGGCTCACGATGAAGACATGATGAAGACTCAGGCTCATGATGAAGACATGATGAAGACTAAGGCTCACGATGAAGACATGTTGAAGACATGATGAAGACTCAGGCTCTTGATGAAGACTCAGGCTCTTGATGAAGACTCAGGGTCATGATGAAGACATGATGAAGACATGATGAAGACATGATGAAGACTCAGGCTCATGATGAAGACATGATGAAGACATGATGAAGACATGATGAAGACTCAGGCTCACGATGAAGACATGATGAAGACTCAGGCTCATGATGAAGACATGATGAAGACATGATGAAGACTCAGGCTCACGATGAAGACATGATGAAGACATGATGAAGACTCAGGCTCTTGACGAAGACATGATGAAAACATGATGAAGACTCAGGCTCAGGATGAAGACATGATGAAGACATGATGAAGACATGATGAAGACTCAGGCTCACGATGAAGAAATGATGAAGACTCAGGCTCATGATGAAGACTCAGGCTCACGATGAAGACATGATGAAGACTCAGGCTCATGATGAAGACTCAGGCTCATGATGAAGACATGATGAAGACTCAGGTTCACGATGAAGACATAATAAAGACATGATGAAGACTCAGGCTCTTGATGAAGACTCAGGCTCATGATGAAGACATGATGAAGACTCAGGCTCTTGATGAAGACTCAGGCTAATGATGAAGACATGATGAAGACTCAGGCTCATGATGAAGACATGATGAAGACTCAGGCTCTTGATGAAGACTCAGGCTCATGATGAAGACCTGATGAAGACGCAGGCTCATGATGAAGACATGATGAAGACTCAGGCTCATGATGAAGACTCAGGCTCTTGATAAAGACATGATGAAGACTCAGGCTCATGATGAAGACATGATGAAGACTCAGGCTCTTGATGAAGACATGATGAAGACTCAGGCTCATGATGAAGACTCAGGCTCATGATGAAGACATGATGAAGACTCAGGCTCATGATGAAGACTCAGGCTCTTGATGAAGACATGATGAAGACTCAGGCTCATGATGAAGACTCAGGCTCTTGATGAAGACATGATGAA